GTAAAAAAAAAAAAAAAAAAAAAAACACATCATAGTAAAATTAATACCTTCTCCGCTTCGCATCGAAGCTAAAATAGAGTTGTAACATAACTAATATGCGAACAATGATAATAACACTAGTATTGCTTTGAATAACCGTTGACAAAAGAAAAACAAAAGTTAATCGAAATCGCGGTGGCGTTCTTGGTTGATCCGATGGACGGCGTATAACAGTGTGAAAGGTGTCACGAAGAAAACTGACTGCACGTATTATTGCGGCGGGGTATTCGACGCTAGGCATTTGTTGGACTTTACACCACGGCGATAACGCGTGTGTGTAACGGTCTGGTTTACAGTGAAGCGGTGGCTGAGAAGGAGCTGACACGACCGCGGGGTGTCAACGTGTGACAACGCCGTGGCAGTGTCAATTCAACATTAAATCAAATGTTATTACATAATATCAATAGCTATAGTGTAATTTATTGACAATTTTTAATATAAATATCTTTAATTGTTTCAGTACTGTATCTAATATTCCGAATGATTATCAATTATTTTATATTAATATACAAATAAAGTTATATAATAATTTTTTTATTTTTATTTAAAAATTTATTTTATGAAATCTTGATATTGTTGATAAATGCTTCATTTTTTTGTATAAGTTTATTGATTTTTTATGACATCGATATTCGCAGATACGCAGTCACAGTGATGGAGTTTTTATTGTTAATTATGACTATCAATATATATGCTTTCATTTTGACAGTTAATGCATTTATTAACTCACAACAATGTGCGTTACTAACACTGATAATAAATAAATCGTATTTACGTAAGTCGACGTCATAAAAAACAAATACTACCTTTATCTATAATCCCTCGTGTATTATACATGTATATTAACTCAACAATTTTAAATCTAATAAACAAATAAAGTTATATTAAAAATTCAAATGCCATTTACTATTAACTTAAAAACTCAAACATTTTATTAAATACAAAATATATATTCCCTTTTAAAAAGCAAAGTTAACACTTTTACAAGGCATAAGGAATGAACTAAAAAAGTATTACATAGTTAATAGTTCAAGCATAATGTGTGACTAAAGATAACTTGTAACGTCACTAATTCGAAGGTGAACTGTTTATGATTTTTTTGTTATGTCTACTTATTTATTTTAAATCGCGAAAGAACCTTTTCCTGGCACAGCGGTGTCAACCACTCATTATTTTGCCGCTGACCATTAGATAAGGCTATAAAAGAGAAATATAATTAAAATCGAATTGTTTATCAGTATTGATCCCTTCCAAAAAGACTGGCCGTTATCAATTTGAAATTGCCATTAGATCGGTGTTAGTTCTTCTCCATTCCTTCTTCTGTCATTGACGGTGCTAGAGTGCACACGTTTATTGTTTTATTGTCATTTTTTTTTAATGATGGAGTAGAGCCGCCAACGGCGAATGGCCAGGTTTTTTCGGCAAAGCATCCAGACCATCGGATGGGTCTCTTCGGAAACCGGGTATCGGTTTTTTTTTATATATATTATATTTATGTAATGAGCTATATTTTATTAATTATTTAATTTAATTTTTATTTTATCGTAAATTAACTTAATTTTGTTTATCTGTGGAATGCACGTGTTTCTCTTTTCTTCTAGCCAACGCTAAGGAGCGAGTGTCCAGACCGCTCCTGGTGTTCTAATTTCCGATTAACATTAATGGATGTGTTCCAATACCGTCCGTGATGTTTGTAATATTATTTGTTTTGTTTGTTTAAATATTTGGTTTTATTTTTGTTGCCTTTATTTGTAGACAAGGTTTTTGACGCATTCGCATTTTTGTCCATGTTGTTTAATATTCTTTTTTTTAACAATTAAATTAAATTTCCTTATTAATTTCAACTGTAATATTTATTTTATTGCGCGAGTAACTTAATTACTCGCATGTATTTTATCCCTGTTCCTTAAACTGGACACGGGCTAGATTATGTTTTACATATCAAACACATACAACTTTGATTGCCATAATTGTATTTAATAAACCACGAGGTATTATAGTAATTTATACATATAACGACATATTAACTTAGATTATACTTTTAATTTAAAATTAAATTATTCTACCTATGGTCCGGTAATCATATCTGATAGGTGTGACACCTCGCCTAGGTGGTGGCGACCCTTGCTACTATAGCTAGTCGTTATGCAAGTGGCAAACCATGTTGTTGTTACAGGACGAATTAAAAAAGCCCCCTTGAAAACTAAAAAAAAAAAAAATTTATAATTATATTTATTCTGTGAGTAATTGAGTGGGTTATGATAAAAAATCACTTTGTATAATTGTACTAAATATATTATAATTTGTATATATTGTACTATATATTTAATGGTTATTTTTACATGTAAGACTTATGGTTCAGTACTAATATATTTTATTTTAGTGGATAATATTTCAGAAGCTCTTACCATTTTCATACTTAGATTAGGGTGTTTAATATTAATGTAGTAAAATTTAAAAGTTATACAATCTAAATTAGTTCTAATACTTATAAAAATGAGTTACGCAATGTTTCAGGTAAATCACATAAGATTAACCCGTGTCACAAAGGCGTAAAGTTTGAAAACTCAAAAATTTTGGAAACCGTACATTTTTCATTGTTTTTTTTTCTGTTCATCGATTGAAATAATTACAAAATTGTAAGAACAAAAATTGTTTAAAATAATATTTTACCCAAATTATATAATGAAATTTTGTTTGAATTACTTATTATTTATGTATTGTAGTAAATAGCTGAATAACGTCGATAATAGTATAATACGGGGTTTAAATCAATAGTAAGCAATTTTTAAATTCTCAAGCAGTACAATAATGTCATATAGAAGGGAAATGCAGGGTAAGCAAATTAATAATGGTAGGAAAAACAATATAAAAGGGAAACATGAAAAGGATAGAGGGCTGGACGTTTTTGACAAAGAAACGTCGAGTGATGGGACAGGAGGTTGGACGCGAGTATCTTTGTACGATTTAATTTTGTTTTGTGTTATATTTTAATATTACTTTTTAACTTTGTGTTTAATTCGTTTCTTAAATAAAATAACTATTTAAAAACTGAACTTAGCGTAAATAATTTATATTCACCGTGTTCTTAGAATTTGTGTGTGTGTGTGCGGCTAGTGTCAAGGTTGGACTGCTGGTCCTTTAGTCAATCTTAATAATTAGTGTACGAGCTGGCTAGTTTTTGGGCTTAACCGTCCTTTAGTGGGTATAGTAAAAAGGTAGTTGTGCTGGTGGCTGACAAGGAGCCACCCTTCAGTCTGCTACTTTTGAGCTAGACTGTGCTGACGGGTCTAATCTCTACCCCTTTAGTAGTTAACTAATTAGAGGGAATGGGGCTGATCAGTTTATCCAACGGGAGGTCGCGAGAAGAGCTTGAACGACGAACTCATCGTCAATATATATAAATATTGAGGGTGGCTCAAAAAAAATCGATCTTCGAAATGTTTATGAGATACCTCATAAATGTATTATATACATTAAAATAAACATTTTATGAAAATTTGAGATTAAAAAAAAAATTTTTNGACGTACGACAGTATAAAAAGTCAATATATATAATTTTGTTATAATAATCACAAAATAAAGTGAATTCAGTGTTAATTTTATAATATGAATAAAAAATATTTAAAAATTTATAAAGACACATCAAACATAAAAACCAAAAATTAATCATTGAACTAATTATCTAAAAGAGTATTCTTTTTGAAATCTGTATATTTTCTGCGGTAATCATTTACTACTTGAAGCAAATATTGTTTTTGTTATTCGTTGTTTGTTATTTTCCTATTAAACTCCTGCATTATTTTTACACCCCTTTCAGCTCTATCATTTACTACATTATTGCTATTAATAGGGTCTATTGATATCTTGAAATTTTCATCAGTGCTCCATAATGATGGGTCCAATGGTAGGAAAACTAGTATTTAAATTAAAGCGTTTAAAAAATTGCATTTATTTTCCACAAATAAAATCTTCAAGATTTATTAGCTTCGATGCGAAGCTGAGAAGGTATTAATTTTACCATGATGTGTTTTTTTTTTTTTATGTCTGTTGCCACTTTTTCTCAGCTCTCACTGGACCGATTTCTTTTAAAAATACATCAAAAGATCACAAATCGTATCTAGTTGAAGACATTACCCTTAAAAATTGAAAAAAATTCCCTCGTTCTCCGCAAATGGGGGAAATATCCAAAAAAAATTACAAATTTAAAAATCGGTAAATTTTGTAATTTTTTTCACTTTTTTTTCTTAAAACTTTCATAACTTTTTTTAAAAGTAAACAAATCAACATAATTTTTTTTTATACTAAAACCCTAGATATTTCCCTTTCATTTGATATCATTTTTTTAAAAATTTAACGCTTATCCTATTCACTGGGGAGGAATTAAAATAGCAATTTTTTACAAAAACTAACTTTTTCAACTTAGTTTTTGAAAATGTTCCGGAAATACTGCGTCCTTTAAACATATATCAAATTAAAGCTTCTTTTATGTACTATAAAATAAAAAAAAAAATTTGTCCTAACACCTTATCTTCTATGCGCAAATGGCTACCGTATTCAAAAATATGCTATTTTAATATTAAGGTTAATGTTGCTTTTGTAATTATCCATCAATTTCTTAGAATTAAACACTATCTACAGATTTGCATCGAAGCGTTTCTTATGATAGTGATTTTAATCACTGTCAGATTAAATCTATATTGGACCCAACTATGCAACGTCCCCACTATGCCGCGACCCCACTGTGCTGGGTTTTTTTTTAGTTAAAGTAAATCATTAAAATTAATGTAGTTCTGANACCGTTTTTTAATATTCCAGTTGCTTCTTTTATATTCAATAAATATTATTTTGGATACATAATCATCTGTATGGATTTTTAGAGCAGCGATACTTTTTCTTTTTGTATCAAATGGAACATTAGAATTAAAAAGTGATAATACAGTATTCTTTGGCGATAGATATCATAAATAACTACACATTTTCTTAACTGTAACTTCTGATATATTTTTATCTATTGACTGATAATTTACCAAGTCTTTTAAAAAATTTAAATCTTGGTATAGTGCATTGGAAGCAAGTGGTGCACTAAACCAATCTCTTACGTATTAACTAACTCAATCACAAAGAATCTCGTATATTTTATTGGATAATATCAGTTAAAGAAACAACAGCAACTATTAACCACTTAACAACTAACTACATTTAGCTTTTTGAGTTACTACAGCTTTATTGTGTTTACAGAGTGATCGGTTTGTCATTTTATTCGTTACTATCAATATAAAAATATTATTGAAAAAAAATTTTGATTCCTTTTAGTAACTTATAATTATTAGCTGATAACTTATTTTTAATATCATCCCTTATAATTCATAGTAATGGCAATTTTATTTTATTAAATGACAACATACATAACTAACTACTTTATAAAATAGAAAATTATCTAATTTAGGAATAACTAGTCGACAACAACTTAATATTTCAGAATTTTTAACAATTTTAGTAATGACTGAAAGTGAGGAGTGGTTAATGCTATTATTATCGGTGGTCATTTTTATATATTGTCAGGAGGAAGCACTTTTCTTCCTGTAAATGTATAAAAATGAGAATAACTTTATAATAACAACAGCTTCCAAGATTCGTCTTCAGATTATATTTTAAATTCTAATAACCACCAAAGTATTTATCTAATGAGTTGTTATCGACCACTCTTTTTCTAAATCAGATTATTTTCTATTTTATAAGCTATATGTAAAATGCCATTTAAAATTATTAGGTCGATATAAAAATTGGCCCCATATTTGAGAAGCTAAAAATAAATTAAATTAATGAATAAATGAATTGTAGTTGCCTAAGTATAAAATTTATACTTAATGTTTAATATGCTAATAAATTTTGAATTATTGGTACAAGTTGTTATTGACTAGTCATTAAAAGAAATAGTCGATATCTTTATAACGTATAAAAAATATTTCAAAACAAATAATAGCGTTTCATAAGAAAATAACAAGAGCCAAAAAAGGAATTCTTATTTTAAGAGAAGTTTAGTGGTTAATGTTAAATAATTATCCTATATACATTAAATTTAATTATATATAAAAAAACTATTGAAATGAGAATTTTAGTGAGATCACTCAAACATTTTGTTAAAATCGATCCTTTGCACAAAATGAATAAAACTATGCATAAATTATAATATTAAAATAATAAGAATATAAAGTTATTAAATATTTTTTAATAAAAAAAGAAAAGAGTAACTAGAATGATTTCATATTTTAGGAAGTGAACAAAAAACAGAACGAGTTATGTTTAATAAGGGATTTGTTCAACGCTGCTCCTAAAAAATTGCCAGTTATGTGTTGTGGCCAAATTCTTTGTCATATATTATATAATATATATAAATATGTTCTAGAATAAATGATAGCATATAATTTTATTAAGTATTTAACATTTAGGTTCAAAAGTTATGCTATATTTTTACTTAAATATTAATGAAAAAATTATTTAAATGAGCTTATAAAATTCCGTGTTTCTTTTTTAGTGAGGTCTTCTGTTTCTATCTCAAACTCATCATTCATTGTGACATCACCTATTAAATCTAAAAATAAAATGAAAAAAATAAAAATTTCAAAATAAAATAAAATAATTATTTCAACAAATTTTTTATTATTTTTATTATTACCAATATTTTTTTTTATAAATCATATAATTTCATCAATGTATCATTAAAAATTCATCAGCAATTATTTTTGTTTTAGTAGATATACCCTTTAATCATAATCTAATTAAACTGGTTTAAATGTTTAAATAAAGTTATGCAAATCTATACTATTAAATCTAATTTATGTAATTTCATTTTAAATCATAATGAAAAGAATATTTTTATTTTTAAATACTAAATTTAAAGATGTTATGAAATTTTTATGTAATATTCGATTACGTTCACTTTTTTCAAAATACAAATATCTAGTTTTTTAATTTTCAAACATTTTAGTGTGAAAATATGCATATTTATCATTCAGAATTTACAATTTCATACAAAATTTGTGTGTCAAATTACAGAGACGCTTAATATATAAAATGTATAATAAAAATTAAGTTCATTACTAACATTGTGTAGTTTAGGTTTAATTAGGTTTAGGTTTAGGTTTAGTTAGGTTTAAATGATTTAAACAAATATTAGATTATCAAAAGTAATTTACCTTTTTGAAGAAAATCATAAAAAACTGGAATTGTAGCTGGAGAGATTTCGGAGTCATTGTCTACTTCTAAATACATGTAAATAAAAAAACTTTCAGTGATTAAATATTACAGTAATGAAATATTTCAATTTTTTTATTTACTGTAACTTTATGAAGAGAAACACTAATATGTTTTATGATAACAGGCGTAGCCACTTTTTGATTTTTTATTGCTAATGTTAATATGGTATGCTATTATAAGACTGATATTTAACATGTATTAATATACATATATATAATATGATTTAAGTTCATTACTAGAATTGTATACTTTTTTAAATTTAAATATTATAAAAAAATATATATAATACTGAAAATAGTAATCACACTAGTACGTACAATTGGTTTTGATGGCCAAAATTTAAAATTATCAAAAGTAATTTACCTTTATTAAATGAATCGAGAAAAACTGGAATCGGAGCTGGAGAGATTTCAGATTTATTTTCTGCTTCTAAATACAAGTAATTAAAAATATATTATAGTAATAAAATATTTCAAGTGTTTTATTTACTGTAATTTTATGAAGAGTAACACAAATATATTTTATTAAGTTTAAATAATTAAAAAAAAAAAAGTGTAATACTGAAAATAGTTATCACACTAGAACGTATAATTGGTTTTGAGATTATTTGAAAATTTAAGATTATCAAAAGTAATTTACCTGTATGATGTGAATTGCAAAAATTTGAAATTGATGCTGGAAAGATTTCAGATTTATTTTCTACTTCTAAATACAAAAAAATGTAGTGATTAAATATTTCAAGTGTTTTATTTACTGTAACTTTATAAAGAAAAACTCAAATGTTTTCAGTTGAAATGTTCATTGTAATATTCAATTACATTCAATTTTTTCAAAATTCAAATATCTTTTTTTTTAATTTTCAAATATTTTAGAGTGATTAATACGTATATTTATAATTCAGAATTTACAATATCATACAAAATTTGTATGTCTATTTAACACAGACGCTTAATTTACATATGTATAATAAGAGTTAAGTTCATTACTAACATTGTTTAGTTTGTTGAGTTAATATGATTTAAAAAAATATTAGATTATCAAAAGTATTTTAACTTTTTGAAGAAAATCATAAAAAATTGGAATTGTAGCAGGAGGGATTTCAGAATCATTGTCTGCTTCTAAATACAAGTAAAAGAAAAATATTTCAGTGGTTAAATATATTGAATTTTTATTGCTATTGTTTAAATTGTGAGCTATTATAAGACTGATATGTAATTTGATTAATATGTATTTAATATAAATTAAGTTTATTACTAAAATGGTGTAGTTTGATAAGTTTAAATAATTTCAAAAATATATGTAATACTGAAAATAGTTATCACACTAGTACGTACAATTGTTTTTGAATACCAAAATTTAAAATTATCAAAAGTAATTTACCTTTATTAAATGAATCGAGAAAAACTGGAATCGGAGCTGGAGAGATTTCAGATTTATTTTCTGCTTCTAAATACAAGTAATTAAAAATATATTATAGTAATAAAATATTTCAAGTGTTTTATTTACTGTAATTTTATGAAGAGCAACACAAATATATTTTATAATAACAGGCGTATTCAATTTTTGATTTTTTATTGCTATTGTTAAAATGGTAATCTAATATAAGACTGATATTTAACATGTGTTAATATACATGTATATAATATGAATTAAGTTCATTACTGAACTAGAATTGTGTAGTTTATTAAGTTTAAATAATTAAAAAAAAAAAAGTGTAATACTGAAAATAGTTATCACACTAGAACGTATAATTGGTTTTGAGATTATTTGAAAATTTAAGATTATCAAAAGTAATTTACCTGTATAATGTGAATTGCAAAAATTTGAAATTGATGCTGGAGAGATTTCAGATTTATTTTCTGCTTCTAAATACAAAAAAATGTAGTGATTAAATATTTCAAGTGTTTTATTTACTGTAACTTTATAAAGAAAAACACAAATGTTTTCAGTTGAAATGTTCATTGTAATATTCAATTACATTCAATTTTTTCAAAATTCAAATATCTTTTTTTTTAATTTTCAAATATTTTAGAGTGATTAATACGTATATTTATAATTCAGAATTTACAATATCATACAAAATTTGTATGTCTATTTAACACAGACGCTTAATTTACATATGTATAATAAGAGTTAAGTTCATTACTAACATTGTTTAGTTTGTTGAGTTAATATGATTTAAAAAAATATTAGATTATCAAAAGTATTTTAACTTTTTGAAGAAAATCATAAAAAATTGGAATTGTAGCAGGAGGGATTTCAGAATCATTGTCTGCTTCTAAATACAAGTAAAAGAAAAATATTTCAGTGGTTAAATATATTGAATTTTTATTGCTATTGTTTAAATTGTGAGCTATTATAAGACTGATATGTAATTTGATTAATATGTATTTAATATAAATTAAGTTTATTACTAAAATGGTGTAGTTTGATAAGTTTAAATAATTTCAAAAATATATGTAATACTGAAAATAGTTATCACACTAGTACGTACAATTGTTTTTGAATACCAAAATTTAAAATTATCAAAAGTAATTTACCNTAGATTATTAAAAGAAATTTACCTTTTTGAAAAAAATCATAAAAAACTAGAATTATAGCTTAAGATATTTGAGACTCATTGTTTGATTCTAAAAAAAATTTTCAGTAATTAAATAATTTAAGTGTTATATTTTATTATTTGTGATAAATTGTAAGCTATTTTTAAACTGATATGACTATCATTTTCGTATAGGTTGGTAAGTTTTTACATGAAGACTTTTTTTAACTCTAGACATTTAATTTATTTTAAAACAATATGTTATATGAAGATTCTTTAAATCTTGTTGTTTTTTATGTTCATCCCTTTTTTCTTATAGATGTGTTGATTAAATTTTTTTATGGCATCATATGTATTGAACTATTTTATGAAATAGAAAATAAGTGGTCGATAACAACTTCTGTACCAGTGTATCGGAAGTAATTGTCATTTTTGTATCTAGCTGAGAGGTGAAGTGCGACTGAGAAATGACTAATGATGAAAAAAAGCATCATCAGCGCTTAACCTCCAGTTTATATTCCAAAATACTAATTATTTTCTAAGTATCGGTGTAAAAGTCTTTGTTGAGTAACCATGATTTGAAATACATCATTTTTTATTTTATAAAAATGTTAAATATGCAGATTACGATTTAAAAAATAAAGTGTACACAAAAAATAAGGGATTGACCTAAAAATATTTTAATTGTTTGAATTAATGTAATGATGAGATAGTTAATCTTTTAAATCTATGTTTGTCTATTTAATTTAGAATAAGCAAGTAAATAAATAAATTTTATTTAATCAGTTGTAGATTTAAAGATTTTTCCATCCCATACAATTGAAAATATATATAAAAACAGATAAGCCTAGATGATATCGTATTAATTTCATTTTCACAAAAGTTTTTATTTATAAATAGTTATCTGTAATCTCATTTTAAATAATAAAAATCTTAAAATCTAGACAATAAAAAAACAAAATCAGCCAAAACAGTAAATTCAATTATTTTTAATTTAAATTATTTTAAAATTCAACTTTAATACCTTTTATTATACCTCTTTTATGACAAAAAAATATATATATTTTACCATCACATCATATTAAGACAAACAATAATATATTTGTGTCTTAATACTAATATTTCGAATGTATATAATACCTTCAAAATCACCATCTAATGAACTTGGAATGAATATTTCCCCATTTTTTGAATTTAATTCGAATCCTAAATTTGTAAAGTTTTCTAAAATCAACATCTTGATTTCACTTAATATAATTTCACTACCAGAATTATAAAATTTTATATTTTCTTCGTTAAATTGAATATTATTGTATTCAACTTTCAATTTATTTGCTAACACAAATATATTACTACGTTCCAGCTTACAATATTTCATGACATCCAATTTTATATTTCTTTCAATCTGTGTTATGTTCAATTTGATATTATGTAGTATAGCATTATTGTCTATCTCTTTTGAGTAAGGTTGATTATTTAATTGATTTTGTAAATTCAGAAACTTGTCAATTGCTAATTTTAAAATAATATGGTACCTTACCAAATGATTCCATGGCTTTCTATGCAATTTTTCAATAGCATACAAGGCGCCTTGCATTAGTTTTGCAAATGAAGTTATATTGGACAAAATGTCTAATAGTTTTTCAGTGCCATTGTGGCCTTGTAATTTATTATTGTTCATTATTTTTTCACAGAATAGTCGTTGATTTTCTACAACAGTCACAATATCCAATAAAATACTTGCGTATGTGCAGCCAAGGAAAATAGTCGTGGCTCGTATTTTTGTACAACATGTAGCTGGTATTATTGGCTCTTGAATTATACTCAAAAGATTATTATTATTATTTAAGTAAGTTATATGCTTGACACGTTTTAAATTTTTCCACCCAATATTTTTAAAAAGATTATTCATAATATTACAATTTCTTATTGTATTTCCTTTTGATTCAGTGTATACGATGACACAAAATAATAACAAGCACTTTGAAACAACGTTTAATGATGTCATTTTTTAGAAAAATTGAATAATGCTACTAAAATAATCATTATAGTAAAATTTATATAAACTGTTCAGTACAAACATGATTCTAAATATAGGTTTAACTCATAAAAAAAAGCAACAAATGGTATTTGAAAACTTTTTGTAATTTTAGAACAATCTAAAATCAACACCTTTTCAATTACGCATTGAAGTTAAAATAACGTAACACATTATTTTGATTTTAAAGGTTTATAGGATTATTTTATAACAGTCTTTGTTGATTTATAATGAGAGGTGATGACTTAGGCAACGGATTGTGAAGTAGACACCCTCATGGCTACCTTGGGATAAATAATATCTAGTCGCCCACCACTTATGCGAAGGGCTTAATTTAAAAAAAAAGCACCCAGATAATAAGTTGATTTAAAACAAAAATAAGATTAAATTGATAAATACATACTATGATCAAATAAAACTAGGGGAATGAGAGGTAAATGAAATAAAGGTACACGTGAATATTGCCGATATTCATGCAATAAAAAGATTTTTGTTAATTATGAGGGAAACGACGATTATGTTCAAATAAGTTCTCATCATTGTTTCAACTTCACACTTTTGAACATGATCAGTATAGACATCATCATAGACGTGTATTATGAATCAATGATGAAGGTGTTAAATACTTTTTATTTGTCTTGAACATCATAATTATGGAACTTCATCATCAACTTATTGTACATCTCAACATTTTACCATTGTAATGTGTAATGATTTCTCTCTTTTTGCACATTGCGCTCATTTGGATTTATTTTTTCTTTTTAGTTAACTGACCATTATAGTTGTATGACATGTAATGGTATCCTAGTCAATTAGAGAGTATACAGGGTGGCCCACCACTCACTGACAACTTAAATAACTTTTGATCCAGTTAATATTTTTAGTTGATTTTTTTTTTAAATAATATTTATACGTTAGGTCTATAGCTATATTTCAATAATTAATTTTTTTACATTTTATTAAAAATATTAATTATTTTTAAATTTTAAATAAAATGTAAAAAAAAAANACATCATAATTATGGAACTTCATCATCAACTTATTGTACATCTCAACATTTTACCATTGTAATGTGTAATGATTTCTCTCTTTTTGCACATTGCGCTCATTTGGATTTATTTTTTCTTTTTAGTTAACTGACCATTATAGTTGTATGACATGTAATGGTATCCTAGTCAATTAGAGAGTATATATAGATCACTACGATGCTCTATATTACGATGCATATTCTATATGCATGAAAAAATAAGATTCGATTAATCTTTATATATATATAAGGCCTTTCTTTTACATAGATTGTAAAGTTTATTCTATTATTTGTTCATTTCATTTAATTTATTTAAAATCTGACTTAATTATTAATTAAAAAATTAAATTATAATATCAAATAAATATTAATAATTGTTATATTAAATTATAACTGTTATTTATAACCTTTTACTCTAGGTAAAGGTACAAAATCCATGGTGCTTGAGTTTTGTTTTGGCTTATGTTGGACCCTCCTCAGAGTTCTCGTTAAATTAGGCTGGTTCTTTACGTATTTAGCTTGAACAATTTTAGACAGTACATGTGCAGTATCTTTCACACCGGAACAAGTTCGTATATAATTTTCATTATTCGGCCATATTAGGCACTGCAGGAATAATATACGCACGATACATCGCTGACCAATTACTTAGTATTTAGAAAATTTGCTTATTTTACTATAGTAAAAACAGTATATATGGTATATTAACACATCTAGATTGTGAACAAAAATATATTTTTATTTTTAATAAAATAAAATGGCTAAAATACCATAATAATAATTTGTTAAATATTTTTTAAAAAATAATAAAAAACCATATCGGATAAATAAATACACAAAGCACAGATGCCATAAGAAATATTGCATTTAATTAAATGAAACAGGCTCAATACATTATTAATTATAACAAAAATACGGACCCAGAACCAGATGGGATTCATCTAAAATGGGGATCTCGTTTTAGAAAATGGCCGGCACCAAAATAAAGTTATAACATATATTTAGAAAACCGATTACACGAAAAATATTAGCTGTATTATTCAGCAAAATATCACTAGGGTGGTTTATACAGAAGAGGGGCGTTTTTTCGACACACTGGGACAAGAGACATTGACGGCGATGACGATCGAGGAGAGGGTATCGCTCTAACAATTTATTAAATACCAAAAAAATAAAAGATAGAACGGTATTTGAATTATATAGGTAATGGCCAGTGTATGTGTCATATAGGGAAAGATTATTAACTTGATAAAGATTATTGTATGTATAGTGTTCATTATAACAGAAATAGTACAGTTTTCTGATTACACAGTCGGATATAACGTATACGCGCTCATTAGCAAAGTAAAACATTAAATTTATCTATATCATATGAAATAATAATAGATATAAAAATTCACATTTTGTCACGTTAAAATAAGTTAACTAAATTGAAACTAACTCATGAATTTGTAGCCTCGAGAATGACTACCAAACTATAAATAGCTAATTGTTGTTCCGGTAGACATCGCAGAGAAACTTATGAAGGTATTTAAATATTAAAATGTTATCTTAGTTATTATTATGACCGCATCATTTTAAGGCAATAGTGCCAAGATACATTACCATAATACCACTGTTGTGAACTGGCTTTTTGCTTCCTAATTGTCATTAATATCATTAATAACATAAATCGTGAAAACTATAGTAACTCAAAAAGAAATAAATAGAAGTATATTTAAAATACTAGACGAGAGATGTGTAAGGAGAGTTACTATTTGTTTTTTAATAGTGATAATTTTTGGGTAATAGTTTGAGGGTTTATAAGAATAGTGAAGAGGCCATAGAAAGACCCAGTGATTTTTTTCAATGATCACTCAATCTTTCTTTATTTCTACTTTAACCATGCACTTAAAAGAAGTAATTTTTTTAACCTTATTAATTTAATTAACTAGTATTTACCTTGGCGTTTCCGGGGGATGTCTAGAGAATGAATAAAGGCCTCTTATTTATTTTAAATAAACTTGAACGTGTCTGATCACTACTTACACATGAATTAAATAATTGAGATCAATATCTACGACGTAATTGTCATCTACTCGTTTAAGAGTAACATAGTTTATAGGGTCGAACCTGGACGACTCTCCATTGAATCACTTTCACTGAATCTTTTATGTTAATTTGCTCACTTCTATATTATTAAGTATTAACTCGTTAAAGTCGTAAAGTTATTTATAAGTAAATACATATTTAAATATAGTAAATTATATTCAAACGCATTATCTTTTTCATTTTGTCTACCGTACCACTCCTGTCTCAAAACCATTCTGATTAATATCTACATGAATATAAATATTTTTGTATATTGTTTTGGTTAGTTAAAAGGAAACATTATAAAATATTGATGTTAATCTCTCAATAAAATATATTTTCTCATACACTTACTCAACAAAGATCAGTGTAGAAATATAAGATTAAAAACATATTTTTCAATAAAATATAGAGAGTTATATATATTTAAAATATTATAATATATTGCATATAAAAATCAGTATCAGGTTTTATAAAAATAAATCGTATTATTTATAATCAAATCGTTTTCGTAAGTAATTATATTAACTATGCAACGCTTAATATATTTATTTATAAAAATCTCATAACACGGTGTTTGTCCGCGATGGACACAGAAACTACTGAACCGATTTTGATGAAATTTGACATACATGTGTAATTGGGTCCAACTCAGGCAATAGGATAGTTTTTATCTTTATTAATAGTCTCAGTTATTTTTTATTGAAAATAATATTCGTAAAAGTCTATTGCTGTTATTTTCTCGTATATGACGGTATGAAACTTTTATATTTTATCAATTTTCATTATTAAAGTAAAGTAATGAAAGCGTCCAACAGATGGCGCCTATCTATGTGTGTATTCTTTCAATAATTGTAAACGCTTCTCAAAATTATTGACAATAATTGGTGATTTCCACTTAAACACAATATTTTTTCTATATATTAATCCACAATACATTTTATAGGTTATTACATAAGTATTACTTGATTTATTAATGTTTTTTTTCAATTGCGTCATTTTCTTTGATTTAATATATTTAATTAAACGTATATTAATAAAATTTTATGCAATTTATTTATGCTATCTTTTTTTTAAAGATCTTTTGTTTATATTCACATCATGCAAATTTGAAATCGCATATTAATTGTGTAAGTTTCACTTTATTTATATTTCTTTGTTGTATTTAATTGATGATTTAAAATATTTAATAAAATTTATTTCAAGAAAATAATTTCAAATTTATTTTAAATAATACATAATATTCATCGTTATTTTTTATTCAATTTTATGTTATTTTTTCATCCTAACCTATTTGAAAATTAAAAAAAATATATAATTTCATTTCGAAATACAATAAATCTAGAAGTCTAAATATTTTGAAGTTATAATTTTTTATTTTTATTTTCCATTAATATTTGATTTTGAATTTTGATTTATATATTTCTTCTTTTATTATTCAACTGTTTTACTTTATTCATTTCTGTAGTAAGATGCTACCAAAAAAATCTAACCTCACCGCGTGTAGTAGAGGCACGGCGCAAACGTGCAGAAAGAAGTTCTCAGTCATCACATCAACGTACAGCATCCAATGAATCTCAAAGAATTAAGATAGCAGAGAATCGTGCACAAGAATCTTATGAACATCGTAATTAACGTATACGCAAAATATAGCTAGAACGAGAGCAGCGCGTGAACAATAAACATCTATGTCAAGGGCGAGAGAACGTAAAAGACAGCGAACCAATCACGAATTAAAACTCACATCATTTGTTCATCTTGTGTATGAATATGCATAGGATATTAATTACTCTGCACATTCTTTAATTTCTATTGGTAAAATGGACAAAGTATGCCAATATTGTCAGGCGTTGAAATTCCCCAATGAAACACTTGGTCTG